AGACAGACAGACAGACAGACAGACAGATAGATAGATAGATAGATAGATAGATAGATAGATAGATAGATAGATAGATAGATAGATAGATAGATAGATAGATAGATAGATAGATAGATAGATAGATAGGTATTAGGTACATAGATAGACATTGCTGCTTACCCGTCCGCCAGCTCCTGCAAGACCTGGTAGATGTTAATTCGGAATGTCTCATTCTCATGGCGTTCCTGTACGAGGTCCTTAAAAATTCTCAACTCTGCCGCCGTGACAGCCTCTCCCTCTGGAATACGGGAAAGATCAAATCTGAATTCCCTTCGGTGCTTCTGGTACAGAAGTTCCTGATCCCGATCAACTGTTTGGAAAAGAAAAATAGACGCGGGGAAAAGCTTGATTGATCTACAGTACTCACAACAAACTTTGGGCAGACGTTATAAATCAACGTTTGATTGAGGCTTTTGCGCACAATTTACAATTCGGTACACAGCATGATTCGTGCTTTATTATTGTAAAGCTGCAGCTGCCGCACACTAAACATCTGGCTCCCAAAGAGAAAGTTTCTCCCTTGCGAGCAAAAGTTCAGCCGCTGTGAGATGCGAGAGCAGACGGTGATGTCAAGTTCTCTCCAAACTGTTGGAGACTCCAACAAAGTTCTCTGATGTGTGTCGCCTTCTCGCCACATCTCGGAAACGCTGCAGCAGGAATAGCAAAACTCTCGCCTCAGTCTGCGACGCGATTGAACTAAACATCACTTAAGTCAGCCCTTCGTGCCAATACGAGGGATAAAACCACACCCGGCACCCAATTTGGCTCCCACATGTGCGTACCACAAGAAAAGGCCCATTAAGGGCCGGCCCGGCCCGGAAAACCACAGCTGCCAGTCTGCTTTTACAAACGCGTTCGCATGACCTATCGAAATCCACACAATTCATGTCGCTGCCAGATTGCGTGGCACCCGCGCCTCCCTGATCCGATTCCCATCTGTCACTGTCCCTGATCGCTGAGGATAGACGGCAAGCGGCGGCGGCGCTGTGGCTTTTCCTCCCTGCCAGATGAAAGCCCGCTCCGGCTTCCCAAAAGCACAACGGGCAAAAAAGCTTCCTGACGCTTGCCTGTTTTTTTGCAGCATTAGGCAGCATGTTCGTCTTTGGAAAGAGCACTAAAGGTCTCTGGCGAAGGTGTGCCGAGCACACCGGGGCAGCCATTGGCAGCTTTGAAGAGCCCACGCCATAACGCGCTAACGTCACAGTCCCAAAAGCCTCCACCACCGCAATTTTTAATGTCACAGCCCGGAAAGGCCTCACACACATTGACACGGTCTTTTTCAAAAACACTATTATCACCGCAAACACACACACACACACACACACGCACACACAGACACACACACACACACACACACACACACACACAGCCCACTCGCTTTTTCGAGCTGCGCATTCTGGACCCTGCTAGTCATCTGTGTGACCGCAATTAAATACTAGAAGAGAGCAGGGGGGGTATTTTTATGAAAGCAATAATTGCTTGTAAGGACTTGGCGTGTTTACGTTAGGGACCATTAGCTGCAAAGATCAGACCTCAGATATGCAAACTTCCCTCTGGGAGGGATTTCAACACTTTACTTTGCCCCTGACACTGCAGGGCCTCACAGACATGGAGCTTCCATTAACCGTTTGTGATTTTTGGAGACTTTTTTTTTTTTGTAAAGCAACAGCATGGGTGGCTTTCTGACGTATCGGAGCGGTAGCGAAATAAAAGACAAAAAACATGACTTGGGAAGTATTTGTGCAGTCTTTCAAGAATCAAATGCAACACTTGAAGCTCAGCTTTTCACGGCGTCTCTTGCTCAAGAGAACACTTTAGCCCAATCACACCATTTAAGCTCCTGCGTGTGTTGACAAGTTTGACAGCTGTGCACAAACTCCAAACTGTTTTCTTACAGATTATCACAGTTACCGAGAGGACTTTGTCCAAACAAACGCTTCCCATATGAATACTGCTGCTCCCGACGGTGTCTGTTGGTTTAGGATTTGCACAGATTCATGAAGTTTGACAATCTGTGCATTTGTCGTGTTGAATCTAAAAACCGATACCAGGGATGGAAGCCTGAGTGCGCTTATTTTAACAGTGAGTGCACCTATTATCGTGAGTTGCTTCAAATAACCCCCTTACGTGAGCCCTGACATCATCCTGAAGTTCACCCCCTTGGAAAAAAAGCTGTCAGTTCAAAAAAAAAAAAAAAAAAAGAAGGCCATTACTGCACTCATGTATAGATTCGGAACTACATGTGCAGTGGAAATCTCCGAGGCGCATGGCAATGATACAAACACATTCCCATCCCACCTAGGAGCACTTTGCACATTTTGTATTGGACGAAAGAAAATTCTCTCTAACAATGGCGACGCCATGAACTCCCCCCTACACCCATCAAAACTAGCAAACACTTAGTCCACCTGCAGGATACGCCTTCATCTGCGAGATGCTGTGATCTTGACATGGGAAATACCATAATCCGTTTGAGGCTTGAAGCCATCATCCGGGGACCACCATGCAGTTCCGACACAATGAGGGGCCCCAAGTTGAAAAGAAGAAAAAAAAAAACAACGGAGAAAAAATGCTCAACACGCGACTTTGTAGTGTGCTTCCAAGGGGAAAATCACATCATGACGTTTTGTCTTTATTGCTCATCTTTCATTCTCACAAGTATAAAACAATTTAAAAGCCTTTGCGTAGACGGCACTGCTAAGCTATGTTGCGCTCTTTCAGATTTGTTCATCTCAGATGGCTCTTGATTTGTGCGTAGAAGCTCCAAATAAATGACAAGATCAACTTCTTCTCTTCCCAAATGGCTTTTCACCTTGTTAAGCACCGTGAGGCAACAGTGCTCCAGGATAAAACGTGACACCACATATGGCACCAAACTCTTTGCTGGCGCTCGGCTGAAAACGGGTTCCACATATTTCCAAAGATGTAAAAGGTACAAAACATAGTACCTGTAACTGCACGACTAACCCTGCAACCTCTACCTAAGAGCTTTCAAGAAATTTGAAAAAAAAAAAAACATACAAAATGTGTGTCGCGTTGGATCTTGCACATTTGTAGCCACTTCATTTCAAGAGGTGCACGTTGAAAGCATGTAGTTAGCCTGTGAGTCTCCCAGTCAAAGCTTCTGTGAATGAATTTAGGCTTGGGAATGGAACGAAGGAGTGAGCGCCTCACCGCTCTTGCACCTCGCCATTCCGTACTGAACTGACCATGAAAAAGATTTCTAATAAATGACTCATGGTGGCCATAAGACTGATCATCAGATGTTATGACTGGTGTGGGGTGGAGACAGGAACACCTGAAACCAGAGTCCCTTGATGTGAATTAAATAATGGCGACTGTAGTCTTCGGTATCTATATTTGCAAAGAATCCTACTGCTATTGTGCGGCAAAATGTTCACACGCCTCATAGTTGAGCGCCACTATTAATCTAGCAAATGCAGGAAAAGAAAGGAGTTCGAATCATGGGGAAACGTTCGAGATATAAACTTACCGAGATTGAGAAAACTCATGACCATATCAGCATCATCCAGGAAGCGATTGTCCTGCGGGGTGACCGGGTTGGGAGCCTGCGGCTCCAGATGGGGATCGTAGCTGGAATATCTCGTGCGCGGTGCGTCTGTTGAGGCGGTGTTGTACAAGTCCAGCATGAACAACGGGGCAGCGTTGAGCCTGGAGCCGACGTGCGCGGGTCGCGGGCGATGAGGCAGCCCGAGGATGGAGAGGATCTCCCGCTGCATGTCCCGGCGCTCCTGGCTCCTCAGTCGGCCGTGGATGAAGCTGGAGCGCACCTCGTTGTCCACGGAGAAGTTGGAGAAGGACATCTTCGTGGACAAGACGCCACAATTCACAGTCAGGAAAAAAATCAGTGTCCCCAAGGCGCAGGTCGCAGTCTGAACCATCTTGTTACGCGCGCTTCGAAAAAAAGTTGAGGTAATCGATCGTTTGGCAAATAATCCCGGGATCAAAAATCGTACACGATAATCATCTCAGACATATCTTTCAGACTCTGATGCAACATTGTGTTCTCCTGTGCGTTGCAGTCCCGTGAGTTCCTTTCTTATGGGAATTTTGGAGCGCGTTTGGAGACCCTGTGTAAGGCGGGGAGGAACGCGGGGGGGGGGCGACTGTGCTCATTTTGACCACAGTGAAAAGGCAAGATGAACTTAATAGTATCCTTTAAAGAAGCATGTCCATCTTAAACGTTGAGGTGCAAGGAGGGTGGGGGGGGGCTGTTTTAACCGGAAGTGTCATGACAATTTGTGAATTGTATTTAAGAGTTTAAGACACCCCCCAACAATCTCCCTAGCCCTCAACATCAAAACACACATCTCTTTGAACTGAGACGGCCAAGTTGGTCCCACCCTAATCATTTGGGAGTTCTACTCTAACGGATGATCAGCCACTATTTATTACAACGGCATGAAGGCACTTGCCACAATGGCCCCAGTGAATTAGTGCAACGACGATTCCACAAGTCTATTGTAATATAATATTATATTGGTGTATTTAGTAGTATTTATTAAGGGATAAGATCAGCAACAGCTGCATTTTTTTCCTAAAACGTCAGTGCTATAAATCAAAAAGCACTTTCAAATTCATATTGAGACATATGTTTTAGGTCAAACGCAAAAACTTATAATGAAAATATATTTTAAAAAATTAAGTGCCCGCAAAAAAAGTCGAGTTTTTTTCAAATATGCGTCAATAATACGTTGAGGGAGGGAACCCAGCCGCTGGGGGGCAGTGCCCTCCCCTGGGGGTGCACTGTTCCCCAGTGCCGGTCCCAAGCCCGGAGAAATGGGGAGGGTTGCGTCAGGAATGGCATCCGGCGTAAAACTTTTGCCAAGACGACCATGCGAGTTGGTAGGACGGTTTACAGGGGCGGATGGAAATTACTGACTCGCTGTGGCGACCCCTGAATAGGGACGTGCCGAAAGGAGAAGAAGAAGAAGAATACGTTGAGGGAGGGAGACATATAACCATCTCGACTTATCATTTTTCGGTGACCAGTGTTTTTAATGTCAATAATACACATATTTAAGAGGTAATTTCGCTTTGAAAATATCTCAACTAAAGTTTTGATATAAACAGGCAAAAACAGACGTCGTCTCTACTTAGCGACAACTACAAATCAAAAGCCACGTTTTTGTCCTACACTGCCCCCGTGGCGTTCAAACTGCACAGCGCAGCACGCCGTCCTCCTGGCACTCTTGCGTCATTAAACTGCGACACCGTGCAAAACAAGCGCCACATTTTTTCGGTTGTTGCGCCGAATAAATTCGCTCGCTGTATTCGGCTCAATATCAGAGGAGTCAAGATTGGGATAGGAGCTTAACGAGTTCGAGGTACGTATAGTCATGGGTAAAGGGCAGTCCGCGTCGTTTGAATGTTTCCCGCTGTTGCTCACGGGACGGTCGCCGGTCTGAAAGGAAGATTTCCAACTGGCAGCAAGCTAACGTTAGCGAGCTCTAAATTAGTGAACACGTCACACTCGCCTCTTCTCTAAATCATCTTATTGGAATGCTGGTGACGGCACACCCATATTTGACATTTGGGCTTTCCGGCTATAAATGGTTTTAGTGAGATTCGTAGCCTTCTGTCATCGAATGTTCATGTCACTAAATCATGTGTAGTAATGGGTTGTAGTTGATACGTAACAAGGCGAAGCCTTTGCTTCCAGTGTATTTGCTTTTAAAAACATGCAATGTGGGTGGTGAGAGGCCATATGTATTTTTCTTACCAGGCCAGGTCAGATCAAGAATTACGGTAATGCGCCATGAGTTTATTTGGCACAAATTCCGGTTTTGGAACAACGGGAACTGGCGTTTTTGGAAACTCGACGGCTGACACGCACAATCCTATGAAGGTAAACAACAAAATGGCTACGCCTTGATTTGTTGACGTGTTACTGTTGTAGCTTGCTCAGCATTCAACTGACAAACAGTTCAAAGAGTGTGCTTTTTATTTTTTGCTATGTCTCAGGATGTCGAAGTGACTTCCCCACCTGATGACAGCATCAGCTGTCTGGCTTTCAGCCCCCCGACCATCCCTGGGAATTTTCTCATTGGAGGCTCCTGGGCGAATGATGTGAGTGATTGCAGGTGTTTCAATATTAAGTGTTTTGAGGCGAGCATTTGCCCCAGGCACCATTAATTTGTCAATAGTGTGTGATATAGAAAATAAGAGACATGTTTTGGATGGTTTGCCATGAGGTTCGGTGCTGGGAGGTGCAAGACAATGGTCAAACTGTCCCCAAAGCTCAACAGATGCACACAGGTCCTGTGATTGATACATGCTGGAGTGATGTAAGTCTGACCACACATGACGTTCTCTTGCCGATAAAGAGAAAAGTGTTCAACACGCTTGATTTTTATCCAGGATGGGAGTAAAGTGTTCACTGCTTCCTGTGACAAGACCGCCAAGATGTGGGATCTCAACAGCAATCAAGTGATGCAGATTGCCCAGGTCATATGAGATGCACTTTGGAGACTCGATTTGGATTCGATGTGTGCTCTGAGGAGTGCTTTACACTTCTTGGTTCAAGAGACACGGTTCTGATTTGTATGTTCCGAAGTTGCACCGCTCCGATCAGTGCAATGGGAGTGTAAATGGGTGGGGTGTTGCCCGGAACTGAGTATCTTCACAATGGAATCGGGTCTCTCCCAAATGCGGATCAAATCTGCATGTGCGTCGCATATGTGCGGCCTAAATGCACAGACTCGATATCCGCATGGAAATGGTACATCAAAAAATCGGATGTACTGTAGGCATTCAATTGGAATTGGGCCCCTGGACCTTCGGTGTCAACCCAGCCACAAACGTACTCCTCTCTCACTCACCTCCTGTTCTCTTAACAGCACGATGGCCCAATCAAGTCGATTCACTGGATAAAAGCGCCCAACTATAGCTGCGTCATGACCGGGAGCTGGGACAAAACACTGAAGGTGTGCTCACCTGCGTCTGCATGTCAAAACTCATGCAGTTCATTTTCCAACCTTTCCTACATGACGCATTGTCGTTTTCCGTTCCAGTTTTGGGACACCCGCTCTCCCAATCCTATGATGTCTCTGCAGATGCCCGAAAGATGTTACTGTGCCGATGTGGTACGTGGACTTGAAGAAGGATTCTGCATTACATATATATTCTCACCCAACAGATGATGTGTCGGTTTTCTGAGTGCACCTCAATATGTGTGATGCGGCTCTGCAGGTGTACCCCATGGCGGTGGTGGCCACAGCGGAGCGGGGCCTGATTGTGTACCAGTTGGAGAACCAGCCCTCTGAATTTCGCAGACTTGAATCGCCTCTGAAGCATCAGGTGAGCACTTGTTTTCCTTGTCGAGAAACACGCGTTCGCTCCCCGGAGCTTTTCAGTCAATGTAATCTTGCATCTGTGGCTTGTAGCACCGCTGTGTGGCCATTTTCAAGGACAAGCAGAACAAGCCCACTGGCTTTGCGCTGGGAAGCATCGAGGGACGCGTTGCCATCCACTATATCAACCCTCCCAACCCGTAAGCATCAAAACTAAAACTTTTGTTTTGGTTTTAGAACAGTAGCTTTTCAACTACTGCTGACATGTTTCCGTTTTCATTCCGCTGGAATGCTGTCAAACGCACGAGCCGCAGTCTGACGCGAATGTGTTTGCCCGTTGTCAATTAGAGCCAAAGACAACTTCACCTTCAAGTGCCACAGGTCGAATGGAACCAACACAGCCACCCCACAGGACATCTACGCTGTAAGGCCTCCATTTTCCATGTTGACATTCCGACACGACGTACCCACCGCATCTCACTTCACCGCAGCAAAGGTCCCTTTGAAAGTTCGCGGAAACAGGCCAAGTGGCGAGCTCTCTGACAATGTCAATCAAAAGCGGTCCTTATCGTCATTGGAGCCTCATATTTGACCGACGCCTTTTGCTCTACGTACTGTGCTCAACATAACCCGTTTCCGCATCAAGAGCAAATGTTCAAATTTTGATGGTGATTATACTCACCTGTTCTTGAATACTTGTGGGTTGGATTTTTAAATCGAAGATGTTTCTTTGCACGACTTGAATTGAGATTTCCGTTTTTGCGACATGATTCAAATTTGTTGGGTACATTGCGCTTCAGAAATCTTGAGGCCCAAAAGTAGACACGAGCATGATTCATCTTTGCCGTTGTTTGTTGGCAGTTATTTTCTGCAAAGTAAGGCGGCAGTAATATTTATGATCTTGTGAGGCACATTCACGATTGTCAAATCAGATGGGATGCTGTTATCCCGAATATGGACAGTGTATCAAACGTATTCCTCTGCATCCAATTTATTGCCCATTTTGTCAGGGAGAGTTGAGGCACAGTCGACGCGGCGCTAACTTGAAAATGCCGCTGTGGCGGAGAGGGAATGACAGCTAAGAATCAGTGCGGGGGGCTTTCTTCTGATCCAGGTCAACGCCATTTCCTTCCATCCCGTTCACGGAACTTTGGCGACCGTCGGCTCCGATGGTCGCTTCAGCTTTTGGGACAAGGACGCCCGCACCAAGTTGAAGACGTCGGAGCAGCTGGACCAGCCCATTACAGCCTGCTGCTTCAACCACAATGGCAACATCTTTGCGTATGCTTCCAGCTATGACTGGTCAAAGGTAAGATGTCCCGAACCAAAGTGTTGTCAACGTGTTTATCTCACGTGGCATGTCGTTCAGGGCCACGAGTACTACAACCCCCAGAAGAAGAACTACATTTTCTTGAGGAACGCCGCGGAGGAGCTGAAGCCTCGGAACAAGAAATGGTGAGAGGCCGGCAGCAGCGACTGTCCATTAGCCCGGGTAGCGTGCTCGCCGGATGGGATCCTCACGTGTGGCTCACGCTGGGCCTCGGCGACCACCGCGCAGCCCCTGGCATGCGTGGATGGGAGCAGAAGCGCCGCTTCCAAGCCGCTTCTTCGACAAGCAGAGATTCCAGCAAATGGGCCCGGTGGGAGTCGTGCTTTCCACAAGTGACTCCGGCTCTTTGATGGCTTGCGTGGTTTCTGCATTTGTAGCGTGTACAAGCTGCCTTTTGCACATCTCCAGCGAGTGGGTTGATCACGGAGCTTGCCGCGGAGGAATAGCGCGCTGAATGTCGTCTGGCTCTTAGGAAAAGATATTTATCAAAATACAGCCATGAATTGCGTTGCTTGATTATGATGATAAAGTCATTGAGCTTGGGCAAGCAGTATTTGACACCTATTTTGTAATGTTTATGCTGTGCAAAATTGGACATCATTTATTAAATAAAGAGCCTCAAATAAACTGTTCCGTTTCACTGACTGCCTCCCCTCCTTTCTTTAGATTCTCCTTGCCAAGTCACATCTGGTGTGGGGAAACGCAGACAGCCAGAGGCTTAGGGGTGCATGTATGCTCAAGAAAGATTCCTTCCTTTTGACACCAGGACCAGCTGGTGTGGTGCCATTTCCTGTCCATGGACCAATCAGAGAGGCCTACACAAAAATGTTTGTCGTAAGTTTGCATACGTTTGGAGGGTTTTTCATTCATATACATCTGGGTAGGCTTTTTTTTTTTTTACACTTCTCCAAAGACTGTCCATTTTAAATTTGTGTTACTCTGTGGTTTATTTCCAAATGGGAATGTTGATGTATAATAAACAAGTAAGTGAAGACACTTTTATTTGAATGCGTTGTATTTTATGTACGGCTTGTCCTCAGTAGGGTCAGAGGTGGCCTGGAGCCAGCTGACTTTACGCCAGAAGCGGAGGGCGTTTCCATGAACAACCACTTAGCCTCACATTCAAACCTACGGACAATTTAGAGTCTTTCGTTCACCTAACCTACATGTTCTGGAGGAACGAGGGCAGAGAGCCAAGATTTGAACCACCGCAGAACTGCAAGGCACATGTACGCGCCACTCGTTCACACTCCTGCCCATTGTGATTAAAGCAATGTAAAACTAGGTAGCCTCACTCATATTACTGGATTATATCGACCTCGTTTGAAATGTAAACCTGTTAGCGAGCACGATGGGGAAATAAATCCCATAATGGGTCGATACCAACGTGTGGAGTTGCTCGCGTGTATGTTTTTGTCCAGCAGGTGGAGTGTGTTGTCTGTCTTGCTCTTAACTCAAGGTGTTAGGCCAGGTCAACAACCTCAAGAGGGACAAAAGAGATCAAAGATTCTTCCTATAGGTTGAATTCTTTTAACGTTGGGGATAAAGTGGGGTTGGGGTTGCCACATGGTTATAAAAAATGTCACCGTGGTAGCAACAAAGGCCAGGCGGGAAAAGTGAGCCCGGTCACAGAGCGCAAGGCGGGAATGAAATGCCCTTTTATTGAACGTTATGAGTGTATCACCTCGCTGTGAGCCTGACCTTTGGTACTTAGCAGTGGTACTCCAAGCGGCCAAGGGCAGGAAGATTTTTCTGTGGCTGCGCTTCACCATCTCCTCTCAAAATCCGTAAGCAAGTGGCACTACTTTCTTACACCCCTTGCCTCTTTGGTGTTAAACGTTCTCAGCCCAGTCTTTGAAGTACCTCATTTAAAGCTGTGTACCTAGCGAGGCCATATTCACCATCTGTAAAAAGTGGCCCTGGCTGCACTGCTTTTCAGCATGGGTGATGTTAACTGGATTGCCACAATATATACAAAACCCCAATATGACTGTGTTGCATGATTGATAATCATCCCATTTTTAAAATAGTGCTTGGGGTTCTTCTATTCGTGGAGACCATCGATCCAAGCAAACACGGTGAATCAGCATTTAGCGGTTATGCTGTACACTTATGGAATAAGTTGCCAACAGAAAAGTCAACACCAAGACCTCTCTCTCTCTCTCTCTCTCTCTCTCTCTCTCTCTCTCTCTCTCTCTCTCTCTCTCTCTCTCTCTCTCTCTGTTAGCAGCTTAATAACTAATTAAGAGACTAAATGTTGCTCTTATCAACTGCAAACGACCAATTTATCATTGTTTTGAAAAGGCATACTTTGTGATTCTAACGTTCATCCGGGTTACTGATGTGAATGCAAAGCAAATCGTTTTTTTTTTTTGTTTTTTGAAGGAAAACGTGCAGAGTTTTAACTCCAGTAGGATTTTTTGGGGATATGGTAACTTTCTAACGGAGAATGGGTCAAGGCACTCATTTTTGGTGGCGCGGGGGGCGGGACAGTTGAGACCAGTCTCTGAAGGACAAAGGCAGGTGCAGCGGGGGTTCCGAGTGGGCGGGACGACGTCCGGGAAAACGCAATGAAGTTGGTACGCAGGCGCTAATGTGATTGGCTAAGAGTTGTTCGGGGGCGGAGCCACATCTCCGGCATATAAAAAATGTCTCCGCTCGCCTTCAACTGCAAGCTACGAGTTGAGCACGCGAGCGGAGGTTTTCTCACGTTTGTAAGTCAGCGAGCCGGAGCTTCCAGGTTGTTTTACCCGCGTCACGTTGAGTCTGTGTACTACTGTATTGCTTGAAAACGTTTTCACGAATGCCGGGTTGCCGTTAAAGCCGAGTGAAGTCAGTTTCGCCAATGTGCGCCTCCGGAGGTTTGGCCGGCTCGCCAATGCTTCTGCATCAATTTATGAACGGAGCCCTGGAAGCCATGCATCCCACCGCGCTCCAGAAGGACACGACTTTTACCAAAATCTTCGTCGGCGGACTGCCGTACCACACCAACGACGCCTCGCTGCGAAAATACTTCGAGGCCTTTGGGGACATTGATGAGGCCGTGGTGATAACCGACAGGCAGACCGGCAAGTCCCGAGGATACGGCTTCGTAAGTAGGAACGAGATACAACAAGTCATTCATTTCTCACCGCGATGGAATACACGCGCCGCCCACAGAGTGTCATACATTTTTTTTTGCCGTCCACACACTGTAGAATGATTTGTTGTCTTGTGCGCCTGTCCACGTGTTGATGTTTGTCCTTGCGCGAGTACCACATCGATGCGTGTCGACCTTATGCCCCGGTCATGGAATTCAATTGTCTTCCTGTCCTAATGAGGATGAGGGATCACACAAGTTAACTAAGAAGATTATATTTCCACCGCCCCCCTAACCTCCCAAACGAGGCCATTCAAGCCTGGCTCGGGGCTTAAGTGCGGGAGAGTCTGTTGCCCCTCGTTCCTTTATATGGCTCGTTTGGAGCAGCGGCGATGGGAGACGTTGACCTTGCACGGCGTGCCCTCCATTGTCACAGACGGAAGCGCCTGCATTGCTCACCGCTCACATGATTTACAAGGCAACTTGGCTGCTTTGGAAAAAAAAAAGTCTTCATCCTGTGAATGTGTGATCAACTCTGCAAAGACCTTATCTTTGAGTAGCTTTCGCACCCCCCCACTCCCCCGGCCTCCATATCCCAAAAATGTCATACATACATAAATCATGATGGGATTGTTTTTCAAAATCCACCGAACAAAAAGTGTCCTGTTGCATTCTCTCAGGCCTCGCTAATAGGTGACTTATCTCGGGCCGTCCCTGCCAGATAAAACCGGCTATTCTCCCTTTGACACAAAGCACAGAAGCCATGTGAGCAATGCAAATATTTACCAGAACTGTGGAACTACCCATCAGCGCTAGTTTTGTCAGGCCAAAGAAGGAATGGAAAAGTGTTTGTGTGTGTGTGTGTGTGTGTGTGTGTGTGTGTGCGTGTGCGTGTGCGTGCGTGTATGTTTACAAGCAGTATGGAAGACAATTACTCAGTGTTTACACGCCAGCTCCCAAACTGGCGAAAACTGCCCTGCGAGTCTTGTTGCTAACGGTTGAGCGTGCGGACCGGTGTTACCTGTCAAACAGGCTTGTTGGGATGTGCCTGCTGTCACCCGTGCGCATGGTTAGTTGACCAACAAATGGTTGGCTTTGGTTGGGGGCGGCGGGCGTAAACCGGCAGAAAAGGGGCGGGCGAGCTGCCCCAAAGCCGAGCTCACCTTTTATCCAAACACACATCAGAGGGGGATTAGCGGCACCCCCACAGCAAGGCTCCACAGAGTGTCAACAAAGCCTCGTTCCTTCCTGTGTGTTTACAACACAGACGGCGGAGTGGACTTTTTCTCACCTTGCCGATGTCGAAAATGCCCTCCAAAACAATGATGGCCGTGGTCTCCGTTCATTCAGATGCACTTTGCTCGACTTGGTGAGCTGACTGAAGCCACCGAGTTGGCAGAACCCGGCTATCAAAACAGACGGGCCTGTCTAATGCCCGGAGGAAGAAAAGAGGGGGCCGACTAAGACAAGCTCCTTAATATTACGTCCCTAATTGGATTGCCTCCTGAAATGGTACTCGCTTCCATTCATATTTTGGCAGGCGTGCCAATGCTGCTGTGGGTTACTCGAAAGAAATAACCGTGGATTTTGTTTGTATTTTTACTCTGACAAAGGCTGACAACGTCGGATTTTGGTTGTTTGTTTTCTCAAAGAAAGATTTTGGACAGCGTAACATGTCAGCTTCCAGATACATACAAGGGTGGTCCTCACTTTATACACTGTTAAGGGATAAAAACATTGTGGGTGAATTGGATCCAAATTTTTCAAAATCTCGCTTTTGTGAAATTTGGCCAAAGAAAAAAGGCTTGACCAAACTCTTTCCCCTTTGTATTGAAAAACAACTCTGCAAGTTGTTTTGGAGCGAGCGACTTGCTTGCTTTGTTGTGCTAACATCATTGCCATCACTTTCAGCAATTTGTATTGTAAAGTTTTCCAACTTCAATTACTCTTTTAGCTCCCCAAAATACAGGTTGTGTGTGTGTTTTTTTTTTAACAGGAAATGACAGTGAACCCTCGCATAGTTGCTGTTCAGCCTTCACTATTTCACATTGCACCATCCATCGCTTGCGCTTTCTGTGCTCCAACCAAAACTAAAAAAAAAAAAAAAAAAAAAAGTCTTACTTTGGCCCCATCTTGGAGCGCCTCGGTGCCACGGAACTATGTAAAAATGAATTGAGGAGACTCATTTAGACAACTGTCGCGCCTCTGTTGGTCTCAGCCAATCGGTGCACTCCCCCTGCCCCCGCTTAAAAATAAATCAGTTGCTTGAGAACACAAACTCAACCAACTCATTAACGATGTAATGATTATTCCCGTCACAATGTCACTCACCAGGTCACGATGACAGACCGAGGGTCGGCTGAGAGAGCCTGCAAGGATCCCAACCCCATTATTGATGGCAGAAAGGCCAACGTCAACCTGGCCTACCTCGGTGCCAAGCCTCGCAGCATCCAAACAGGTGGGACGTGTTCGGTTTTTTTTTTTTTTTTTGGTTTTTTTCTTCCCTTATGTATTTATAATTCATGAAATCACAGCGTTGCCATCTTGATCAACCAGCTAGCGAGCAAATTTGACCCTGGTTATCGGCTCAGGATAAAATCCGCGCTGGGGCGTGATGCCGCCGCCGTCGCCATGCTCTACTGTCGGTTAGGGTGTTCTTCTGGTGATCTGCAGCAACCGATCCTATCTTTTGGAAGGCATTCGGCAAATTTCAAGCACGTCTTTCTTTTTGGGGGCGGGACTTCGGCCTTGCTGGGCTCCCCCATAGTGTAGACGCCAAGAGGACAGAAAAGTCCCAACAGCTGGCACTCGCCACAACTTCCTGGGCTCCCCCAAATGTTGCCACATAGTTTTGTTCTGGTCTTCTCATCGACTTCTTGGTCATGTCCCGATTTCTCCACTCGGTGACGATTGTGGCCCAATATTATCTTTCAACAATGAGATGCTGTGGCGGCTCCCCGCGGACCGTCGCCGGCGCTCGCGGATTTGAGCGCAAAACTGAAAAACGCTCACTTCAAAATCGGCAAGATTGCGGCGGCGCCGAACATGAGCCACGTTGGAGCTCGGCTTGACTGTATCGCGCATTGTTTTGCGCCGAGAGAGGAACAGGCCCTCGCTCTGTCTGCCCGTGCTCTCTGTGTATTGTTCTCTGGCCCTCCTCTGCAAATGCAAATGTGCGCGCACGCGCATGCGTGCGTGCGTCTTTCTGACAGTCCACCTCGTATCTTGCAGGCATATCCATCGGAGTGCAACCCATTCACCCGGCATTCATCCAGAGGCAGTATGGGTAAGTGAAAGGGAGTGGGGGCGCTTGTTGTGCGCGTGTGTGCGTGTGGTCTTGTGTTAGACGCTTTGTGCAGTGCCACCAGGCCACTGTTTCTTGGACAAATAGGGCCTCTGGAAAGTACATGTCAGTTTCTGGGCCTGCTTGCAACTCCAGAGGGAGAGCATTAGCATACTTGAAATTTCTAGGCCGGGGAGATTGCTCACACCTCTGTGGTAATGGAAGGGCATTCCAGAGGTGAGCGTGTGACTCGCTCGCAAAGTTTTGTCAGAAGCTTGTCGACTTGTCCGCCGTCCTCCAGTGGGCCCGCTGGAAGCGGCCGTGTTGTCGGAAGTGGCTCGCGTCCCAGACGTGCTCCGCTGAGCGCTTCATGAGCACTTCGCCGTATTCGTCGCCCCGCCTGCCTTTCACCTCCTCGCGCTACAAGCACAGCTTAACCTGTCCGTTCTTAAACCCAGAGTAGCGTGCGCATTCATGGTGCTGCCTTTTGTGGCTTCACCTTTGCCCCCCCCCCTGTACTTCATTTTAGGATCGGAAACCAGCGTTTGATTTCAATCAACCAATCATGTCAAGATCTGTTCTCGTTTGCCCATCAGGCTGGATTTGCCACATGACATCTGCTCCGAAGTCAAATCGGGACCTCATTCCAAAGTGGTGGAGCGTCTGAGAGGTTGCCTGGCCGTATCCCGTTCTCAGTGTAATTTAGCTTGTGTGTCCGCAGAGGGTGGTGGGGGACCACAGATATCGGGTATACTAACGATAACGATGCTCGCAAGTGACTACGACTGTATTGCAAAGATAAAGTGTAGAAGCAAGCAGATTCATCCGATTTCATTCCGAAAAGGAACGATACCATCAATTCAGAAACGATACCAAACATTCAGCAACTGCACAATCACATCGGCAACTGTCTACTGCCGTATATTCTGGATGCAAGTTGTTGGTTTGTACTTGACATGAATTGAACTGGACTGGGCTATTTTTTCGGAAGCCAACAAGGGCATTTTTGGCGATATGAAAGTGATGCTCCAAACAGACCGATGCTTGTCGGCGATGAAGAGTGCATCATCCTGGAACTGCCAAGATTTTCCACACTCCCTTAGGACGATGATCAAATAACATCCCCCCCACCCCCCTTAAAAAAAAAAAAGCAGTCTTCAACCGGCCGTGATTGTCTATTCATGTACCATTAAATCAACCCGCGTCGGGTATTAACGACCCGCTGGGAATATGCCCCATCTTGTTCCGGGCCACTCGGAGGACCTGGAAAGTCCCATGTCCTCGCTTCCGTTACCATGGCGATCACAGATTGCACCAAAAGCCCCCAAGGATTGGAAATGTGCCGTTTTGAGGTACGGCTGCGGCAGGTGCCGGCTCACGTTACGGCCTTTTTAATCACCCGTGGCCGCCACCCCAGAGAGGCAGAGGGCTACGTCGAGCACCTGTCCTCCGGCCCCCGAGTCTTGGAGATGTTGAGTGACAGACGCGGGCCTCCCTAAGACGCGCAGCCCCGACAAGTGGCTTTTCTTTCAGCCTCTTCTCCCCTCCTTGACGACATATGGCGCGCTGACATGCTCTGAAGTGGGATCGTAAGCAGAAACTGGAGCGGTGTGTGTGTGTGTGTGTGTGTGTGTGTGTGTGTGTGTGTGTGTGTGTGTGTGTATTATGGCTGTGGTCAGCAGATGCTTTGGACTGTGAGGGTCAGACGAGATGAGGCAAGTGTCATTGTTTTCATAGCCACGACTCGCACCACATTTGCTCACATTTTCCCAGTCTGCAGTCATCTTTTCATTTACAGAAGTTTTTTTTTTTTGTTGTTTTTTTTTAAATCGGTCGCTTCCCTGGCCGCCACCAGCAGTGTGAAATTTGACACGCCTCTGCGAAGCAGTGTGGGAGATCAGGTGGGGGCTGGGGGTTTGGTCGTCAAAGTGGGGGATGAGGCTTGTTTTTGTTTTTTGTTGTTTTTTTTTTTTTTTGTTTTTTTTTTTTTTTAACAAGGCAGCGTGCATCCTGGGAAACGCACCACTGCAGGTGTGAAACGTCGCCTCCTCAAGCGGAAAGCGAAGGATGCCGTGTGGCTTGTTTCCACATGAACAGCAAAAAATGAACGCTCGCCAAATATTCCTTTTCAGTTTCGACTCGCCGAGTAAAACGACAAAGTTGAACCGCGCCGCAGCGATTTCAATTTCCTGCAAACACCTGTGGCTTCCTCTTTTGGACCCGCCCATAAATGAGGCGGCCATCAGGCCTTTCCCGCCCGCATTTGTAATACTTGCAGTATGCATCTGCAAAGCCTGCTGCCCCCCCCCCGCCCCCCGCCCACCCGGGGCCATTGTGTCAAAATCACACAGGCTGGCTCGCCATCAGCACAAAAGCAGCTGACCTCGGATTTTCTGGCCGGCGTCCACGTCGGCCTGTCACCGGCTCAGGCTACACACCCGACCTCTCGCCGCTTATCTCTTTAGATAGAAGTTAAAACGAAAGCTCACACCTCCGCATTGTATCAATGAAAGGGTCCCTTTTGTCTGGCCTTATCCTCCGCATTCCATCGTAAGGCCACATGAGCCTTTTTAGTACATCGGCGGCCGAGTGCCGAAACCAGGCGCCTTGCGTCCACATGGCGAGTGTGCGAGTGCCCCACGCTAACGTCGACTCGCGGCGAGCGGCGCACGAGGCTGCCGTTGGCTTGCTCCTTGGTTTGGATCCGTTTCTACCCTTCCTCAGATTTGACTCTGTCAGCGTTAATCAAGTGCGCTTTTCACATGTGACTTTGAAACGATGTTGATATGCGTGTATACAAATGCGGTCGGTCTATTCAATTTTTTTTTTTCTTGATATTCCTCCTTCTGTCCAACTTCCTGGCAGCTGACGATCAGAGGACACCCCCCTGCCCCCACCCCAAATATAGGACTAGTTCCGAGGAAGCAAATGTCCCACCCCCCACATCTCGTCTCTCCGCAAGGTGCCAGTGGATGGCTTGAGAGTGCCGTGGCGTGTGCTGTGATGGATTGGAGTGCCTTTTTATCTTTTCCCGTTTGGCGTGCGAGTGATATGAAGTGAAGAGGTTGCGCTGATTGCGGTGCGACTCTTTCCCTATTATGGCATGGTTTGGGCTTTGCAGTGGTTACTGGTGTGTGGGAGTGTGGCGTGTGCGTGTCTGCGTGTCGGGGAGCGTGATGACATCCCTATCCTTGCATGCTTCCATCCCTGACTGTATTGATTCCACGGCAGCCTCACAGTACTGATGAGATGGAAGCCGAAATGTTTTTTTTTTTCTCAGTGAATGACATTTGTTGCGGTGCGCTTGCCTTTCTCCATAAATGCTTTGCCTCTCAAAATGAGAATGTCAAGTTTTGAAAGCAGAAGGGGTCTCCAACTTTTTTTTTTTTCAGGCACACTTTTTTTCTGAATTGCGTGTTGATATTTTTCATGGGAAAAAAAAAAGTGACTAAGTGCAATGCAAATGTCTTGGGTTCATCACGAGCTTTGCTTCATTGACCCGTTCTGCAGTACAGTCATGGTGACAAAATGGCAGCAAAGACAGTTATGAACCACTCCGAATTTGAACATCCACCTTGCTGTCGTCCTGAAATAACCCGCTAACAAAGATTAAAAAATGATTTGCCATTTGTAAAACGAATGACACCACATTATACTGTATATGGTCAAGATAGCATTGCTAAGACAATAAAAGATGTTCGCACTGTGCCGTGGGTCTTCAGGATGTCCACCTCCAGGAACCGAAGGCTCAAGCGGGACTCCTGTCTTGCTGTGGACACACACACACACACACACACACACACACACACACACACACAAAGCGAGCAACTAGTTGTTGGATACTATTCTGCATCCTGACGACTGTTGAGGTGCCTCTGAGCAAGGCAGCAAACCAACACGGTCTCAGCTCAGGGGCGCGGTCACCATTTGCATGCTCTGTCGCTTTGACATGCCTGCACGTGTTGTGGTCTGCAGAGTGTCAATTAAATTTCCCCTTGCGGGATTGAAATCGGCACAAACAAGTTATTTGGGTAGCCCTGGTTTAAAAAAAAAAAAAATGAAAGGGGGGGGAAAAAAAGCAAGAGAGGGCGCATGGAGGTACTTTAAAGTCGGAATTCTGAAATTTGAAGTCAGAATTCAGGGATTAAAGTGTGAATCTTGCCAGCCTTGTTTTTTTTCTTCATTGGCCCTAATCCTCTTCTGTGTGGAGGACCTGCTTCGAGAGACCTTTTGGCCCCCCCCCCCCCCCCCCCCCCCCCCCCCCCCCCCCCCCCCCCCCCCCCCCCCCCCCCGCACCACACAGCTTTGATCACCTGTCGAAGAGAAACTACAGCACCTGACAGCAGCATTGATAAGCGCCGCGCAACGTGCGTGCTCATGTGTGTGTGTGCATGCGAAAAGCAGCGGCTGTTTAAACACTCTGCTGGTGCCTGAACTTGAAAAACTGCCAGTAACGGCTGACTCCATCATTCAGCCCCCCCCCCCCCCTCCCCACGCTTGGAGCTCAAAAGGCCCAACCGCGCATGCTTGGTAGGGACACAGACAGAAAGTCGGGACCCCTTCATCCCCCGCTCTCCCCGGCTCTGCATGCGCGAGCGTCCCCGCGCCCCACAGTTTGTTTTCCGCTGCGGAAGCAACGTAAACAAACCCGAAGCCAGACCCTCTCGGCATAACAGCCCTTGTTTGGTCTTTTTGTGCTGTGCGCAGGTTGGCCCCGCCTTACGTCTACCCGCAAGCCTACGTGCAGCCCAGCCTGGTGCTGCCCACCCAGCTGTCGTCGTCGCTGACGAGCAGCCCTTACCTGGACTACAGCGCGGCCTACACGCAGTACGCCCAGGCCAACTTTGAGCAGCAGTATCCCTACGCCGCCTCCCCGGCCGGCTTCCTGGGTTACAGCTACGCCGCCAGCCCCGCCGCCAGCGTGGGGCCGGCCGCC